AGTAATATCATTAGGATTAAGTTTTAGTATTGACTAAAATCTTGACAAACACTGGGTTTTATTGAAAAGGGAGGATAACAAACAGAGAGCTCTAAAGGTCAGATTTTGCTGTCTTGTGTACACTATCATCCTAATGCCCTTAACCATTAATAAGGAATGATTAAACAAAGTAAACAGGCTCTCCGCAATTTCAAGTGGCAGACAATGAGTCAGTGCAAAGTTCAAGTAAGGAAAGTGAAGTAGTGTAGCAGACATTAAGAGTGGTTTGGAGCAGTCTCAGCTTTTCTTTCTTTTTAAACAAAGTATAGTGATGTTAGCAATTTAAGGAATCATCATTGCTAGTCTCCGTTAGTTGTTCTGAAAGGATAAGATACTGGCCTCTGAAAAATATTCTGCCACAAAATTCTTATCCATCAAGCATCAGCAGAGAAGGGCTCAGGATACAATGGGGCCAAAGGTTGGCCTAGGTTCCCCTCCTCTCTCTTAGGCATAGCCAGAAAGACACAGATAGCCAGGGATGGTCAGCACACCAACTAACACTTTCTCGAGCACTAAAACTCAAACAGAATGTCTTATTCTTCTATGCCAAAACAGCAACTTCTTCATCACTAAAAACATACTAAGTATGTGTCCCTCACTCTTTCTTCTATTCTTGGAGACCAGCAATCAGAATACCTGCTTCAATGCCACTAGGGTGTGGCAGAGGGCCTTAACGTCATTAGGGTGTGGTGGGCCTTAATGAGCTCTGTTATCACAAACTCTATTCCCATAAGGGACATTTTAAATAAGCACCGTCCTTTATTACGTTTATGACCCTTTCACCTTGGGCTCACCAGTTCATTACAATTTTGAACCCTCAGCATTTTCCCATTTCAGCAGTCTATACTTAGCAAGAGATTTTTAAATTCCATACTGTGAGGTTTCTTGGCCTCAGACCCACCCAAAAGCATATGTTTCAGCTCTCCTGAGATAGCCTATTGCATACTAAAGTCCACAAAAAAGGCTGGATAAATTCCCTTGACACAGCCACTGAATCGTGACTCTGATGACCAGATCCTGAAAGCCCAACTGAGTGCCAAATCCAGCTTTGCTGATAAGCCACTGGTAGATCAAAATGTTATGCTACCCACATGGTTTTCTTTGAGCAAAACTCAATTCATCATAATTAATTAACATCAACACCCAACTTAGTCATGACACTGAGCTATTTGGGGATTTCCCAAAGCAAAAGGGAACCAGATGCCCCAGGCAAGGTAAGCTCCAAATGGCACAGTATGGACTGAAGACTACCCCAAAGACTCTGAAATCAGACTTTACCCAGCCCGCAGCAGCTTAGAGCATGAACGACCTGATGACTCTAGTGACCTGGGCATCTTTGGAACACTCAGGTGAAGACTACCTCACTCAGGTACCATGCTGGATTCAGTGAGGGAGACAGGGCAAACACAAAGATAAGGGTGGTCTAATCAAGTCAGGAAAACATACAAACCTATATAAACTTAGGTACATATGGCCAGAAATAGCACTATATATGGTCCACAGAGTTCATCACAGGCCAGGGTGATGAGGACAAGCTTTAGGGTGGTAGGATTCGAGCTGAGCCTGAATGACAGGCTGGATTCAGTTACAAAAAGATGTGAAAGGCAATTCAGGCAGAGGCTCTAAGCAGGAATTACAACATGACTAAGACTGGTCCAGTCTGGCTGCAGCAGAGGTATCTGGTAAGAAGTAATGGTAAGCAAGGGCAAGAGAGACTAGGGACAACTGTAGACAGCCTTGAAGACCTGGCCAGGGGGTCAAGGCTTGATAACAGGGACCAAAATTGGTCTGTGCTCAAAGGAGCAGCTAGTCTAATGGGTGCTTTAGGGGGAAAAAAAATATATATATATATGTGTGTGTGTGTGTGTATATATATATATATATATATATATATATATATATATATATAAAATTCCCATGTGCAGGATCAACAAAAGGGAAAAAGAAGTAAGGTTAGAAAACCTGACAGACACAACTGAAATCGAGAGGCACCATAAGTAAAGACAGTGCTTGACCCATAGTGGAATCGGCATTAAAAATACAAAGGACGTTACTGGGGCAAGGCAGGAAATTTAAATATGAACTGTATATTGAATAACAGTATTTTTTAGTGTTATAATTCAAATATGTTGATTATGCTGTGGTTAAATTACTGTGTTAATTACAGAATCATGCACAACGTATTATATAAGACAATGACCTTGTTCTCGGAGATGTCTACTAAAGTATTTAGGGATGAAAGGTCATGACGTCTACAACTAACTTGGATGGGTCGAGAAGAAAACTATATATGTAGAGAGACGTAAAAGCAAGTGTACCAAATGTTAATAACTGGAGAATGTGAGAAGGGATAGAAGAAGTCTATGGAGAGAAGCAGCAGGTTTTAGTGACCGACTGGCTACTGGTGGCAAAGAAGGGGGGGCAAAGTTTTGATGTTCTGAACGTACTTGCCAGAGGATGGTGGCAGCACCAATGGAAAAGAGAGGCTGGAGGAGGACCTGGTTTTCAGGAGACACATGCCACATCCAGCTCTGGGTAAGAAGTGGCCGGAAGAAGTGAGATGCTGGAATGAAAGGAGGAGGAAATGTCGTGCAGCAGTGGGAAATAGAGGGAAGGGACTCAGGCTGTACCGGACTAGAAATGCCAAGTCTGGGAATTACCCGGCGGGTAATTTAAGTAGGAGAACAGGATGAGATCTAGGCTAGAAACAGGAGTGTGAGAAGAGTGAGGTAAGAGATGACTGACAACAGAAGTTAGTGACGGAGGTGGGAAGAGAGTAAGAGAAGAGCCAGGAAGGCTCTACGTAACAGAAGCAAAGGTGGAGAAAGGACTAAGAAGGCAGTACCCCTTGGAAGGATCAGTAACATCGAATGCTGCAGAAACCCTCCAGAAGGTGATACTGGCAAACAGGATTAGGAAAGTACCAGTGCCTTTTGGGTGAGAGTGAAAACCAGGAGACAGGGCTCCAAAAAAGGAACAGATGACGCAGAAATGCAAGACTGGATGCAAATCACTCATGCATTCAAGATGTTCACCTTAAATGCCAGAGTGGAGATGAGATGCCAGGTAAAAGAACGAGAGAAGCAAGGGAAGAGCTGGGTTCTGTGAGAGACTGCAGCCACAGCAGCAGGAACAGATACAGACAGCTCAGAGGCACTGTGGTGTCTGGCAAGGAGAGACGGGAAGAGGATCTGGATCCACACATGGGATGAAACACACTCTCCTTTAGGCCAGAAAGAAAGGGAGAGAGAGGAGGTGAAGAGACTTAGGGTAGAGAGGTTTCTTTAATCCAGAAGGATGGAGTTCAAGGTGACATTCCTATTGTCTTCTGACTGGCCCTCTGCCTACCTATCAGTAGAAGATATGCCTGAATTAGCAACTGCTCTACGTGAGGGCAAAGACAGGCCTGAGATGGAATTAAAAAAAGTCACCTGCTGAAAGACACCTTCAGACAGTGTAAAGGTGAGCAGGGTGAGGTCCTGGCTCCTTGCATCATCACTTTCCAAAGATCTCGGGAAATATGGACGGTAATTTCCTGATGTCACATTAGCAACTAAAAATAGTTTTATAAAGTATAAAAGGAATCTGCAGCAGCAGCAAACTACTCTATGGAACCTATTTAAAGATAAGACACAGGAGAAAGAACAACATTTTGATGGCTTTTTACTTCCTTTTTAAAGCCACCACCGCTAGCAGGGGCGGACACTGGGTTTGACCTATGGCTCTCCTTAAAGGAAACTACAAGATAGCGCCTTGAACAACTGACATGTTTAAAGCAACTCTAAATGCTTGCAAAGAGGAGGCAAAGAGGTCTCTGAAGCTTCTAAGATTCTTTCATATGAAAAGGGAGAGTGACCACTTCAAAAGCACCAATGAGCTCTGGATCCCTTGAGCCTATCAGGGAGCCCCAAGGCAAGTATCTTTGGCAAAAATGGGCTTCTGTGATTCTCTTGTACCAGGATGCTCAGGGAGTCTTAATGCCAAGCTAGGTGTTGAGAGAGAAAACTTCACTCATTCCAACATCCAACCTTAAGAACGCACTCACTGCATTCACCCAGAGAGTGTCATCTGAGAATCTCAGGAGAGTTAACAGAGACCAAAGATCCTATTGGAAAATGACAAGAAAGTCCTCTAGAGGGCAATGCTAGCAATGACGGATCTAAAAACAACTACCTCGTTGGGATGAAAATAGAGTAATAAAGGATCATGGCTTAGCAATGAGTCGTTATCTCCTAAAAAATCATTCGCTCTCTCCAAGGGCCATGGAGCATGGTGACAACAATCAGCTGAAGAAAACCGGGAGCAAGCACACCTAAGGTGAACAGCACTGGATACAGCATGAGCCCAGCTGGATAAAATACATGCGACAGTTCCTATCCCCTTGTTGGCTATCTCCTACCTTTAACTTGGCACATGAGGACAGAGGCCATGTCAAAGTGATGCTAGGAGCACAAATCTGAGAACATGTACTTTGTACCATTCAATTCTGCCTGATGGTCTGCTTCCCTACAGAATATCACCTGACCTCAAACTCTGTTATAAATGTCTGAGTCACTGTGTTACTCTTTGGGAGTAACTAGCTAGGTCAAAGACCCTGTGTCATGATTCCTCCAAAGCTTCACTGTCACTGGATTATGCCAAGCGAACTCATTTTACAATCAACATCAAACAATTTCTCTCGCCATTGGTGTGGCAGCCAACCATTATAGCGACACCACTGCTCTCTACCAAGAAGTCTGCCTGTAAAGAGATGAACCATGACATAGGTCCAGTAATCTCATGTTGTGTTAAAACTGGTAACAGATCTTAGCAAAACTATTAAACTTAAGTTATTAAATGAAACAAGTCTGGGACTACCCCCAGAGTAAGGAGCCACAAGAAAGAACATAAAGGTGTAGAGGTGGATAGAAATATCCTAGGCTTTTTGTTTTCTAGTAACCCTGGTTAGGGAGAGAAGGTACCTTATCCATATGGAAGATCAAATCCAATTCACAAACATTTTCAAAACACTTATCCAGGGTCTCCACAAAAACCTAGGAAACAAGGAAAAACAGATCAAGAAATAGGAACATATTCACATCTTCATAAATGTCACATTTGAAAGTAAAGAGGGGCAGCCACGATACTACTTACCTTATGATAAATCTCAAAACAAACCAAAAAACTACCAGCTTCAGGCAATCACCCTACCTGTCCCAACTTCGAGGGCACAGTTTAGGACAGGACAATCTTGTTTTTAGTAATAGCAATACAACCAGCAGCAGACACATGGTATTGTCTTCCCCCCTTTACAAGGTGCTAATTTACACAGAAAAATAACAAACTGAAATACCAACTACTTGCAGTCCTTTCCACGAGCCTCCATGTATACACGTACAAAAAATTTTTACTAGTATGGTGTCATCACAGTTTTGTCCTGCTAATTCCACTTAACATTAACTTCAGAACACCTTTCCATGAATCACGTAAGATACTCACAATTTGAAGTTTTTAACTTAATATAACATTTAAACAGAAAAGCATACAAATGATGAGTACAGCTTAATGAATTTTCAGAATGAACACATCACATGATCAACCACCATCCAAATACCGCAGTAGAATGCTCCTAGCTCCCTCATGCCCCTTCAGCCAAAACACCCTCTCCAAAGGTAGCCACCATCCTGAGTTCTATCATCACAGTTGAGTTCTGCCTGTGAATTTACATAGGTGGCATCATACAACGTGTATTCCTTTTGTCTGAATTCTTTCATTTAACAGTGCTGGTGAATTCCTCCACGCTGCTGCATGTCATAAAAGCTTGTTCATATTCACTACTGGATAGTATTTCATAGAAATATTTATGCATTCTCCTACAGATGGGACATTTGAGTTGTTTTCAGCTTCTGACTGGCTATAAACTAATAGAAATGGAAATCATATTTCTAGCTACTCTGGAAAACTCTTTGATATTATTTATATTATTTATTTATTATTCGTTGTTATTTTACTGTTTCAGCAATTCTACTCGTAGGCACGTACCCAACAGAAATGCATATACATATATATATATATATACATATGTATGCCAAGAAAATATCATAATTTCATATGGAAGAGTTATGGACACATAACTCTTTACATTTTTATCAGTGGCTTTTTCTAGAAGGATAACATACTTGAATAGGGGCTTCTTTTCAATCCCTGAGCACTTGGTGAGCCCTTACAATCTAGCAACTCAAGTCCTTCGGTTTGGGAAAATTTTGCCAAATGCTTTAGTTGAGAATGCCCCCCTTGCCCTGTCCCTAGTCTGTCTTTCCGGAGCGGCTTCTGCTGAGGTACCAGACCTCCTCATTTTCTTATCCTTCCCCTTCCAGTTTTCTCTCAGGTCTTTAATTTCTATGAGAACATTTTGTTTCATCTTTCTTTTTTATTTAGCAGATCGTTTTTTTGTTTTGTTTTACTTCCCTGTGGCTTAAAGACAGGGGTTTGTTTTACTGTTGTCCTTTCTTTTATGGTCCCTATTTCCTCTACATTGCTCTTTCCGGTTTGTTCATTTCAGTCTTCACCTTCCATGTTAGAGGCTTTCCTCAGATTACTGATTGGCCTTGTTTTTCCAGTCATACGAATCAAAGGCTGACTGGAAGCTCTGCAACCCTAGCTATTTGCTGGGGATCCTCCCCTTCATCCCTTTAGGCTTTTTTATTCCTTCCCCTCAGATTGCTCAAATTTCCCGGAGAAATTTTACAATCCCCAGCCTGAAAATGAAAAGACTAGCTATCCGAAATTTGGGAGCAGAGTGTTGGCAAAGGGCTAGGAAGTCAGTACGCAACATTCACAAGGCACACGTTCACTGATCCCCTCGCTGTGTACCATCGACCATGTCCGGTGTCCCCCAAACCAGAGACCCAGGCCTGGGGAAAGGACTTAGGGATCTAACTGGTGCTCAGGCAGCTTTCCTTGCCCAACTCCACACCACACCCAGGGGCCGTGCTGCCAGCTCTGAGCCTCGTGAGGCTTACGTGCAGTGAAGCAGCGTGGCTGTCAGCCTTCTCTGCTGCTGGCCCAGGACGTGGCTCCCTTGGCCTTGCCAAGTCAATTACCATATTCTTTCCTCCTTTCAAAAAGTTCCTTGCTATTGTTTCCTCTCCTGTTCTGAGTGCGTGCGTGTGTGTGCGCGCGCGTGTGTGTGTGGGCCTCTAGTTTTAAAGGAAAAAAATGAACTTAGAAGTGTGGAAGTTCCCAACAGGACTTAAAAAAAAAACAAAAAACTAACAAAGTCAAAGTTCTTAACAGAAAATAAACTGTGAAAATACTCCGCCAAGAATGTTTAGAAAAACAATCATAATAAGGAATGACTAGGCATCAAAATTCATTGCAAAGCCTTGGTCATTAAAACAGTAAAATACTAAGAAAAAGAAGTATCGATCAATGGGACAGGAAATAAAATACTGAAACAGGGCGCCTGTGCGGCTCAGTCAGTTGAGCGTCTGTCCTCAGTTTGGGTCATGGTCCCGGGGTCCTGGGATCATCCCTGCTCAACAGGGAGCCTGCTTCTCCCTCTGCCTCTGCCCCTCCCCCTGCTCATGCTCTCTCTCTCTCAAATAAGTAAAATCTTTAACAAATAAATAAATAAAATACTGAAACATATACATGTGTATAAGAAAATACATTCCTCTCCCCCTCCCAGATGTGGTAAATCATTTTAATTGTTGTCAAAAGCACAATCCAGTTTTGGAAATTTGTTAAAAGGTTAAAATGCATACGAAACCTGCCATAAATTAAGACAGAGGTAGATTAAAATGCATCATAGTGATCTCTTAAAGCAATACCTTCCATAAAAAGCAAAGGTGGGCTTTTGCCTTAATGCTGAACAATGCTGGCTCTAGAATTCTATGCAATTCTGAACAAAAATGAATTCTCTGAAATTATTTCCACTTATTGTGAACCTCAACAGACCAAATTCAAAAGCAATTCCTGATAAAATCTACCATCGTCTTGAATTCCGTAGTCCAGGAATTTCAGACAAACTACGCTGAAAAGCCACTCCAGTGAAGCACGGGGACACATCATGGGCACTCTGGGTTTTGAAGCTTGAGAAAATTAAAAAGTTGATTTTGTGTATAATATTTTTAGACGTAATCTAGGAAGACCAAAACCACGAAAGCCATAACAGTCTGTGAAAGAGTCACTGGAGCCTACTGTCACCAGGCTGCCTCCATGCCCAGCGCCACATTCACGTAGCCTCCAGTGGTCGGCGCCACCAAACCCTCTTCCTCTCCCTCCACACAGCACGTGCCCCTCCTCGTCCCTGTCCTACAAGGTCTGGGGGCACTTCATCGTACGTGGGGCCTCTCATGCAAAGAAAATACAATTTTTGACAAAGGTGGTATTTTGTATTGGTGGGGAAAAGCTGTACTAGTTGACAGTGCTGGGACAAATGGCTAACCTTCAGGGGAAAAACTATAGTTGCCTATCCCAATACAGACATAAAATATCTTAGAGGTATTATGGAGCTAAGTGCAAAAAACAAACTAAAAAAGCAACGGCAGATCCCCTTTGTGCCACTCAGGTCTCTTAGTCAGTCTGTGGGAAGCTTCTGGGTGGCTGGTATTGTTAAAAGCGCTGCCCCAGCAACCAGGACTCTGGAGTAAGATGCCCAGAGCATATGTGAGGAAAGGGAGACCATATTTCTCAGTGTGCCAAGGGCTGTTTTTATTAAAGAGGGTTAATGAAATTAAGATTAGTGTAGTAATCATCTTGGGCTGCCATAACAAAATACCACAGGCTGTGTGGCTTAAACAACAGAAATTTATTTTCTCAGTGTTGGAGGCTAGTGATCCCAGATCAAGGTCTGGTAGGACTGGTTCCTGATGAGGGCTCTCCTCCTAGCTCACAGACAGCCACCTTCTCGCTGTGTCTTTGATGGGACTTTCCTTGGTTTGTGCGCATGGAAAGAGAGAAATCTTTAGTATCTCTTCCTGTCTTACAACAACATGAGTTGTATGGGATCAGAGCCCCAAGCTTATGACCTCATTTAACCATAATAAAACATCCTTAAAAGCACCCATCTCTAAATATAGTCACAGTGGGGGTTAGGGCCTCAACATATAAATTTGAGGGGACCCAATTTACTCCATAACAGTTGGGTTCTCAAATAGACCAGTAATACAGAAGGAGATGTAATAGCTCCAGAGAAGATATCCCCAGATAAAGATCGAAAAAGAGCAGTCAGATGTATCTGTTTCTTCTAGAGTCTCAAGATATCATCATTCAAGATCACGATCAAGATCGGGCGCCTGGGTGGCTCAGTTGGTTAAGCGACTGCCTTCAGCTCAGGTCATGATCCTGGAGTCCCAGGATCGAGTCCCACATCGGGCTCCCTGCTCAGCGGGGAGTCTGCTTCTCCCTCTGACCCTCTTCCCTCTCGTGCTTTCTATCTCGCATTCTCTCTCTCTCAAATAAATAAAATCTTAAAAAAAAAAAAAAAAGATCATGATCAAGATCAAAAGAACATGAAAGTCAGATAATGCAGGAATAAAATGCAGGAGCCAGAGCAGAAGCAAAGAGTATGCTAATGCATGAAGAAACTGAAGAAGCTACAGACGCAGATAGCAGAATAATAAGACACGAATCTAAAAATAAATCCTCTAAGAAATACAAATTTGAGGAACATATTGACAAAGAACATTCTTATAAAGTAAAGGCGAGATTAAATTCATCTGAAAATGGTGAGGACAGACACAAATGCAAGAAAGTAAGTCCTCAAGAGGCAGAAGTCACTCAAGACCTAAGTCTCACTAAAGGCATCATCACGGTATTAGCGGGGAGTGGAAATGTCTCAATCCAGGAACAGATCCAGAAGTCATAATCTAGAAGCAGAGAGAGGAAGACACCATGATCCAGAAGCAGGGGAAGCACTGTAGATAAAATCTAGTCCCCGCTCAACACCAACGGGCATAGGGGTAGAAGCAGGAGCAGTACAGATGAGACGTCAAGATATAAAGAAGACAATGGACAAACCAAGAAGAGTTAACAGAAGTTTAAGCCACAC